GTGGAAGTTACCATCTCTTGCTCTGAGATGGGTCAATTACCCATAGCACACCAACAACAAAACTCGAACTCTGATTTGTTTTAAAGGTACATTACTAAGTAATTAGTTCAAATGAAGAGAACAGTGTTTCTTTTTAGTATTCACCTAAGTGGTAATCATTTCAGTAAAATATCCTTTCCTAAGGACACAGTTCTTTACCACATAAGTTTTACCTGAGTAAAATAGTGTAAATATTAGACATTATTTTATAGAAGTCTATTTTCTAGCTTTGTATTATTTGAATTTATTTTTTTTATTAGTTTAGGTGTCTATTTTCTAACTTTAGATGAATGCAGCCATTATTCAGGCTCCTTTCTCTCCTCTCTAGTTTCTTTGATTCTTGCATCCCTTCCCTTTTTCTTTATCTCTGTCTTGTGTTAAGTGTACAATTCAGTGTTTTTTTGTATATTCACAGAGTTGTACAACCATCACCAATATTTAATTTTAGAACATTTTTCATCACCCCAACAGAAACCCTGTACCTGTTAGCAGTCTTTCTCTATCTTTTCGCTTCCCCACTTCCAGTCCCTGACAACCAACAATACGCTTTGAGTTTCTGGATTCCTTCTAGACTTCCTGTAAATGGAATCATACAGCACGCGGCCTTTTGTATGTATGTCTTCTTTCACTTAGCATAAATTTTCAAGGTTAATCCATGCTGTAGTTGGTGTCAATATTTTATCCCTTTGTATAGTTGAATAGTATTCCATTGTGTGGCTATACCACCTGTTCATTTATCATTTGATGGACATTTGAATTGTTTGTACCCTTTGGCTGTTAGGAATGATGTTGCTATGATCATTCCTGTACAAGTTTTTCTGTGCACTTGTATGGTTTTAATAGTTAATTTCAACCTTTGAGGTCACCATTTGTGTATTTTTGGCTGCCCCGCCTCTGAACCCCCTTCATTTGTGTGGAGATGGCCCCACTGTCACCATGGCTGAGGCAGGGGTCTGTCACAGTGCAATGATTTCTTTATGTTTGAAGGCAGCGTCCTTCCCTGAAGCATTTTGTTCATTTATCCCCATTATCTAAAGGGATCAGTCAATAATACTGAGTGAAGGAATAGGTTCCAGACTCATTTCTGACTTCTAGGAATCTCTTAGGGCCAGGATCCCCATCTGAAGGTCATCCTGGGGCAGGGCTTTTGGATTGAAGGTATTAATTAATGTTAAAAAAAAACCCCAAAACCTATTAAGTATTCTTTAAATATTCTTTAATCTTTAAAACAGAATAGTTGGAGAGGCAAAATGTATACACAGTGTGCATGACAGTTGTTGGCAATCAGATAAGCATGCTGGTAACTTAGTTGCGATTGAGGTTTGAGGTACCCCAGAGATT